CAGTGCTTTGAGGTCTGCAGGGAATGTCAAAAACTAGCGTAGTAAAATACATGCTGGCACTCACTGCCTCTGCTCAAATACCAGCATGCTATCTGTCACTCATGGAGACGACTCTTTTCCACTGTCCACTATCAAGTCTAGCCCTGCAAGTGGAGATGCTAACCATCACACCCTCTATTTTCTGTGTGTTTTACTCTTAAATCTTAAGTACACTGTTACAAGGCTTCTTTCAGCAGATGCTTTTCCCCTCCTGGGTCTGGGTCAAGCGACAGGGAGGACATAACTCTTCCACTGGCACCAACTCCTCATACCCAGAACAGCTCTGTCATGAAATGAAGGTCAGCAATCCCCTCTTTGCCAATACTTTCAAAGGGAGGTGCTTCACACCTGTTTGAGATGCTTCTGTTCTTGGTCTGTTGGCCCTGCTCACCCTCATCTCTCCAGTTTCTTCCCTCTCAATGGGTTTTTTGATCATCCGTGAAGAATATGCCCGTTTGCCGAGGAACTTTCCTCTTGTGCCCAGTGGATCCTGGTTGACAGAGCCAGGCATCAGGGCTTCTGTGAACATGGGGTCCCACCTAAATGCACCTCAGCCAGAGGCAGCACAACGGCAGCCGCTCCCCTGCTGCTGCTGGAAGCAAATGCTTCCTGGAGCAAGCCCTGATACAAGGCAGCAAGTGCATGAGGCCTGATAGTAGAGAAACCATGAGTTTGAGTTTCCTACTCCATGACTGAGGCTGCCAGGTCTGACTCACCGCCGAGGCATGCTGGGGAAAGAGAGGGACTCCCCGCATTTCCTGTGTTTTATTTGTCCTTGCATATGTTGCGATGTCAGAAGGGATGGGGAGCAGAGGAGCTGCGTACAGGACAGCAAGTGGTGGGAGAAAAGGAGATGGAGAAAGGCAGAGACTAGGAGAAGCCTTAACTCCATGCACTTTCCCCTTTGCTCCACCATTCTTTGTGCTCAGAGCTAAGCCACCGCTGGGGCACACTGGTGCTGGCGAGGTGCATGGAAAGAGGTGCTGGAAGCCAGTGGGACAGGAGCAATGAGGATAAATAACAAATGAAAGTAAGTAGTGGATAAATGAACGTGAGTAGTGTTCACTGCTAACATGAGAACCACAGTGTTTTCACATTTTGTTGTCCTCCTTAGATGCTAAAAGGGCATATTCCTGACTGCTGTAAAAACATCCTTGAAGATCTGGTCATTCTTGTCCCCGTCCAGAGTAGAAGCAAGCAGGACGTGACCTGCCTTTCTAAGTCACAGTTTACTGGAAGCCACGTGTGTGCTTGTCTGTGTGTATGGGTTGCCTACGCTTACGTGGAAACCTCTCAATAGAACAACGCTACAAGCCGTCAGGAATGAAGGGAGCCCAACGACATTTCCTTCTACTCCCAAAGTAAGCCTTGCAACACAAGGCTTGACTCGCAGCCAACTCTGCCCCGTGCGGTGGCCAGATAGCAAGGTGCATTGCCCAGCCCGACAGACCCTGCTGTGGTGGTTGTTGCAGGGCTGGCATCCCATCCCTGATTGAGCTTCAAAGCACCGAATCCTCCCTGAGCAATGTTTCTTCTCTCAGCCTGCAACACCCCTCCTCACCCATGGCCAGGGCAGCAGCAGCCGAAAAAAACTCCGCACCCATGGTCATGGCAGCAGCAGCCACCGCAGTGTGGGAGGTGGCAGGCTTCAGTGTCGGACTGGAAAGACTTTCACACCTTAGGTTAAATCACTGCTTTCAGAATTGATTTATGGACATCATTATATATACATGGAGGGATTTTCAGGCAAATGTATGGGTTTGTAATGGAGGAGACAAGCACAGTTTTTCATTCCTACCTTTCACACGGCCATCCCCACAGGGTGTATGTGGGAGGTGAAGCGGGGGGTTAGCACGGAGGGTGCAGGAGCTCCCATTTCCCTTCCCCAGCCTCAGCCAAAGCATGTCAGTAGCAAGGCCCCAAGAGGGGCTGCTGGATGCAGCATCTCAGATGGCAGCAAGCCAACCACCATTTTGTGGCAGGAGCTGGCCTGGGTGTGACAGCAGCCCCCAGCTCCTGGCCAAGGTTTGCCTAGCTGCATGCCGTTCACATTAGCTGTTCAGCCCTGCTTGGAGAAAAGAGAGGGCATTAAATATTCCCTGCCTTGTGCACTTCATGCAATAACTGTCAGTATCTCCGCAGCGCAGAGGAAAGCTTTCGCAGCCATGTTGGGCTTTGTGCCCGGGCAAAGCAGGGGCCATAAAGGTGTTGCCTGTGCAAAGCTGCATCAAGACGTGCAGCCTCACTCGATTCACCTGGAGCCACGGGTAGAACTGATGTCTCCGCAGTTCCCAGTGCTGCAGGTGCCTGGGCCAGGTGCTCCCAGGGAGGGGAAAATCACCTTACATCTTGCTCAGCTTTACTTTAAAATAATTAACACCGAATACATATGATTCTTCTCCTACACGTGCCTGAAGGACTTGAGTATTGCCCGAGAAGGAAATAAAAGACATCCCATGCTATTCATCTCTTACCTACCTTTAAAAGTCAGGATTTTTAGAGTATCTTGTGGAAACATATCCTAGGGTTAAAGGTGATTAACAATAAATTATGAACTATTATGCGAGGGGAGGGGGTCTCCTAGGAGACATGGATATGTCTGGACAATTGTTTTGGGTGAGATTACACGGCACAAGAACTCCATAACAGCCTTATAACTCTCCACGTCAGCGACGCCTTTCCCCAGCATGGTGCGGGGCCGGCTGCTCTGCTGGCTGAAGGTGACCGTGAACCTTTACTTCTACAAGGTCCCAGAGCTGTCTTGATTCAGTTAATGTTAATTATTCCATTGATGCAGTTGTAAGAACGATTAACATTTTTATGAAAAGTGCTAAACCCATAAACTATATAAATTCTTTCCAGAAAAAAACTTCATTCATTAAAACTAAACCATGCAGGTCTGATTCTACTTCCATTCATAAAAATACCTTGGCACCGTGTTTGAACAATTCATATCAATTCTGAAACTTCTCTGTTTTTAGAGCAGTGCACTGAGTAAATTGAAACCAAATGCGTTATACCAGAGAAAGGACAGGAAAAAATTCATCCACCGCTTATGGTGTTTACCCAGGGCGATGCACTCTATGGATCTTAGCAGAAAATTGTGCTATTTTGTGTGATGGACATATTTTCTGCAGCTAGATCTATTTTTATAGTGGCTCCCGAATTGCAGTTTCAGCGCCAGACATTGTAAAAGGTATGTGGAAACTGTTCCACTGTGTGCTGTCAGCGACAGGTTGGTGCTAGTAAATAGTGATGAGAAACGCTGAGGTTTAAAAATGGCTTTGTGACCCCCCGAAATTTGAGTAATGTTATTTTAATTAATACACTGCTTTGCTTCTTACGCAGAACAGCTTTATTTGAATTTTGCTCATGCATTTATTAGTAAAATTCTGACTCATTGACTGCGTTTTGATGAATAAGGATAGATACGTTTGGAGGATAAATTTCTCAGGCAACTTGCAGGAAAAAATGACCAGAAACGTCCCTGTTCACACACACATGCTCCCAAAGGAAAGGAAAGCAACAGACGAATTACACCTCCAGCTCAAGTCTCCACCTTATTGCTAAAAGTCTCACGTAAAATGGAAAAAAAGAAAAAAAAAAAAAGAGCGAGCTGTGGCAAGCTGCTCCCTCTCCCCCTCGCTTTCAGCCGTGGGGCTGGGAACATCCTCTGGTCAGGGTGGGACAGGCCCTCCTCCTCCTCCTCTTCCTCCTCCTCGTCCTTCTCCGGCAGAGCCGCGGCGCGGGAGGGACCGTGGCGGTCCCCGGGGGATGCTGGAGGGGTTGCTGCTGCGGCAGAGCTGGAGCCCCCCCCGTCGAGGAGAGGAGGTTGATCCGCCGGACCCACCGCAAACCCCCGCGGGTCCTGCTCCCTTCCCTCC